GAGGAAAGTAAGTGCTCGTAGCTTCAAACTGGATTTGAGTCTCTGGTCACTAGAGCATCTTCTTCTCCAAAACCTTTTGTCACATTTGGAAAGCTTGCCTAGAGATACAGCTTTAAGAAATTGCCTGACTCCGAAGAACTGAAGCTTTTATGGAAGTAGGCATGCACCGCTCCGTGTTTGGTAAACTGTAGTCTTTCTCCTTACCTCTGCCACTTGCTCAACTTTCTCATCAGAGGTAGTTTTCTCTCCTGATCTATTTGTGAAATAGTCTAACACGGGTGTGGCCACCCCACAAAACGCTTTCTAATTAGTTTCTAAACATTAAATGATTATGGAAGTGCAATTCCCATTCCACTCAGGTGATGAAAAGCTTTACAGGAGTTCAGTCTCACTTTGTAATTAGAGAAATTAGCTTTCTAAGTTTAGATCACTCAACTGTGCAAATGGGTTCATCTGCTGGAATGTGTTGCTCTGAAATGCGTGTCAGCCAAGCAGCACGGCACAGTCCCTATCTCTGCCTCCACGACACCTGCCCAAGTGGGGAGGTCAGTTCCAGTACAGCAAGAGGAAAATAAAGTGTTATGGGTGTATTATAGGAAAGGCCTTATCTGAAGGCTCACTCATCCGTGATTGACTGTAGCGATAGGTTCTTCTCTGTGCAATAGGGAAGCTTAACTCCTAGATAAAGGATTATCCAAGTGGATGAAATTTTCACTCTTTCACTCAGTTTGTCCAGAATTAGATCTAAAACTGCAGGAAATGAATTTTAGAGGGTGGCTAATTTAGAGAAGCAAAACTACTTTTATATACATCTACGGAGAAACAAAGGGCTCCTCTAGGCTCTTCATTTGCTGTCAAATGAGGCCGTCAAGCTTTATGAATTCTTTATGACTACAGATTCCACATTTCAACCGATCCTTTTCTGCTAGCCCTTTCTACTGGTTTATTGATGGCTGATGCAGGATCAGGCCCCCACGATTATGCAACTGTCTTGATCTGCATTACAGTAGTAAACAAAAGTTTAGTCACCGACTTGAAAATGAGATGGATCAGGTCCCTGAACGAAGAATTTTTCCAGGGGCGCCATTCCAAGCTTACCTTCAGGTATCACAAATCTAAGGAAATCCTGTGGGATTGTTCACAGCCATGATTCAATGAGTCACTGAGCTTTGAAAGGAAATTACAACTCTCCTAACACAAAGAATTGACTTCACGACACCTGACCCTTGTAAGCCAGGCGCTCCCTCTAAAGGCTGTGATCCTCGTCCCACCAAACTCCTGGGCATCCTCCCAGTAGCTTCGACAAAGCAGGATCTAACTCTATATTAGGGAACTGATGCGTGCCCAGAATGAAGTACTGTCTGTAACACTGGACCTCGGCATACGAGATGTTTATAACAGCTTCTAATGTGGATGTAATCTAATTATGTCAGAATAGGAAAATTAGCAGGAAGCAACTTTACGCAATGTAAAAAGCTGAGTGCCAGACATTGAAAAGTTCTTCACCGGCCTCAAAGGAAGACACGTCGGCTCCGCACTTCGTGACACACGGACATACGCAAGCAGAGCATTGCAGGAGGAATTTTACATGCACCAGTCTCGGGCTACTCAAAGCAACTACAATTCAGGCCCCCTGTGCACAGGCAGCAATTTGTACATTGCTGTATATGCAGTGAAATGGACATCTTAAAAAGATCCTCAGGGTGCATAATGCACCATGCTCAATTGGTTTTCAGTGCCGCTGTGCAGTGGCTAAAGATCTGGCCTTGAGAGCTCCGTGAAGAAAAGCAGGAGATGGATAGGACTTCAAGGGTGAAATTCTGGCCTTAGTACGTTAAGGGCACTTTGCTACTGACTTCCATGAGATCAAAATTTCTCCCAGGGCTGCGAGGGAGAGTGTTTGCAATGCGCTTCTGCATATGACTCACACGCTGCCTTGGTTTACCTATCATCAGTAATGCTTTGCGTCTCAAGACATTGGGAGGCTTAATTCATTAGTGCTTGCAAAGCATTTTAAGTTGTTGGACAAGTAATTCTGTCTAAGGGCAGCTACGCTGCTGAGTCACAAGCACTGTGGGAACCAGAATTCTGGATTTCCTAAGCACTGGAGTAAAACAGGTGGAGTAACCTTTTGCAGAAAGGCCAACTCCAGACCTGCCCTAAAGGTACGGAGCATGCCAGCAGGCATCAGGGTATTTAAAGGCCCAGAGGAGCACATGTGCGGCACTTGTGAATGAGTAACATTTAAATAGGCTGCGGAAGCTAACCAACACCCACTGAAAAAAAGAAGAGAGGCACTGGTTCTCATATCGCCAAACTGCAGCCGCTTTGTGGATAAAACACAATGAAGGTTTACCAGCCTAAGAAAAGTTAATGACTCCAAATAAGGAACAACTGATAGCGTTAGAACTTCTGGGCTGAATGAGGCTGGAAGGAGTATTCGGCAACCGTGTACCTCACAGGCATGCCAAAATTGCTGGTACGTAATCTAAGTTTTGAACTCACAAATGGGAAGTGATCTGCGGGAGTCTGACGAAAGTATGAGCGTGGTTCTAGCGTTAGGGGCACAAGTACCGCCGGCTTCACAGCCGTAGACACTCCGTAACAGGATGGACCTTACCACAGCCAAGAACAAGCATGCACTTTGCTTTTGCCATAGGAAATGAAAACAAAGGAGATAAAATTAGGTCAGAAATCTCATTTTCCTCTATACCACTGACTCTGGTGTATAAAATAGACATTCACACATCTACTGTGTTAGATCAGGGTGGAATAGGAGATAGGGACATAAGAATAGCTGTTCTGGGCCAGACCAAATGTCATGTAGGCCAGGTTCCTGTCTCCAGCGTCTCAGGAAGAAAGGGACAGTGATGCAGTGGCAGTTCCCAGCACACTCGCCCAACTTCTAGATCAGCGGCTCAGGGACTTCCCAAACCAGAGACAGTTAGGGGTGTGGTGGGGTTTTTTTGGTGTGTGTGTTTATTTTTTTTTTTCCCAATGCCCTTTGATGCATGGCTCTTCCCCTGGGAGCTAGCCCGAACACTTTTGCTACGGTGCAAACTGTTGGGCTTCTCAGTGTCCTGTGGCAAGGAGTCCCACAGGTAACCACCTGGCTATGTGCCTCCAGACCCTGTTCCTGAAAGGATGTGTCTGACAAACCCCAGCACTCACTTGGAAGCTGGGCAGCCGGGACATGTGTCTCCAGCACCGGGAGCAGGCGAGGCTTGACGGAGCCTCTGCACTCAACCAGCGCTGTCTTCCCCGGACTAATCGGCTTGGAGCTGTAGCTGAGGGAGGCACCCCGCTTCAAGCTCTTTCCCGCCTGAACCACGGGAGATCTCTGGCGGTGCGGCGTCGCGTTAAGGAGGGGACAACGAGTCCCGCGGGGGCGACGGCCACCTCCGCTTCCCTGAGGAGAGCCGCTGGCCAGGGCCGCGGCCACCAC